TATATATATATATATACACACACATTTATTTTTTTGATTACTTTATTGCAGAAATGGTTTTGTAACACTAAGTTTCATAGGTCTGACTGATTAACATGAGAAGCCAACATGCACTAGGAGATGAATGATTCCCACTGTGACTGTTTAGAGGAAGAAAGACTGAGTGTGTGATTAATGTGCTGAGACGGCCCCACTCCAGTCCTGGGGGGCCTGCTGTATTACCTAAGCGTGATGTAAGCGTCAGAAGCAAAGGGCCCAGTCAGTGTCTCAAACACACTTACTAAACCTGCCAATTGACTGGTAAGCTGAAGGTGTGTTTGAGCAGGGAAATCTGCAAACTCCCCCCCAGGACCGGAACTGGGGAACCCTGCTATACATACATAAACATATTAATTCTAAATAATTAATACTGTACATAAAACCACAAGTAAAATGAAAACACACCATTACCAACAATATGTATTCTAAAAAGATGGTGAACAGAGGAGATAACTTTTTTTTATTTCAAACAGCTTGTTTTATTGTATGTAGGCCTATGATATGAACCTGGGACCATTTTAGATTTTTTTTAAAAGCTTTAGTTATCTTGACAGTTGCAGCGGAATTTTTCTAGCAATACATCACGCCTTTTAAAAGACATTTGATACATTTTTCCATTGTACAGATGGTTAGAATTCTAAGAAGATGCAATTAGTCTTTTATAATGGCTCAAAAAAGGACAAGTATTCAGATGATTAAATAGTTACATGGATACATTTATAGGCAAATATGTTCATTCAGAATACAATTTAATTAGACAAGAATCTCTGTAAAAGATTTTGCCACTAAGAATTATACTCAAAGCTTTCCTGAACCAAGAGTAAAAAAAAGCATAAATGAAAGGATTGAAGCACGAGTTCATATAACCAAACCAAACCAGGGCATCAGTCAGTGTGGGTGGGATGGAATAGCCAATGAAGGGGTCCAAAATACTGCAGAGGAAAAAAGGTGTAAAGCAGATGAGGAAAACTGCAACCACCACTGCCAAGGTTTTTGCCTTCTTTCGTTCTTGTTTCCTAGAGACTGCAGACCCATTTCCATCCTCCACCTTAATCTGCTGTGTCAGATCTTTAATTGATCTGGCCTGACGTCTTGCTACGACGTAGATCTTGAGGTAAATGCTCAACATGATGAGGCCAGGAATAAAAAATGCAAAAATAGTAGAGAATGCAGCTGATGCTGGACTTAAGATCATCGTGCATCCTCCGACACACTGCACCTGTGTCTCAAAGTAGTGCTCACTGCCTTTCAGGTTGAGGTTTGAGAAGATCATCCCATAGGCGAAGATGGCTGGGAAGACCCAGCTGGTTATGATCATCAGCAGAGCAGTGACAGAGTTGACTATGGAGCGGTACAAAAGTGGGGTGCAGACAGCAAGGTAGCGGTCTACAGAGATGAAGGAGAGATGGAAGGTGGAGGTGGTGCTGAGCATGATGTCCATGCTGGAGTGGACCTTGCATACAAAGTCTCCCAGGTACCAGCAGCCGTAGACCGACCGCACCGCACTGCACGGCATGACGAAGGCCCCCAAAAAGAAGTCGCAAACTGCCAGTGAGAGAATGAGGCAGTTTGTGGTGGTGTGCAGCTGTTTAAAATGCGCTATAGATGTTATGACCAGAAGATTCCCAGTTATTGTGACCAGTATAGCAAAGGCCATGAAAGCAAACATGGAAAACTGAAGACTTAAAGGCTGGACATTCTTCTTGCATGATCCGCTCACAGAGTCATAGCAGTACTGTATTTCTACATATACATCACTGATGTGGCTTGAGTTGTTCAAGAAGATCATGCTATTCGACCTAGTAAGCAAACAGATTTCACTTTGGCTGCAGTCTGTGGTGCTCTTGGTTATATACTGGTACAAGAGAACAACCTACCTTATCAGCATTAATATTCAGTGCAATCATGCTGTAATGCTGTAGGGACAATGCACAACAGTGAGTAACGTACTCAGGGGATGTCAAAGGTCCACACACTCATTTATTATTGTTGTACATATCAAGACATGGACATTGGACCTTGGACCTGGGGGGGGGGGATAGGGGGACACCTGGACGTATGTTGTATGTTTATGTATGTCGACCTTTAGTACCTATAACAATTCTGTGATTAAGAGCATCTGTAATATGAGCCAAATCTCAACTTGCATCATGAGACAAACCAAGCGAATTGTGAGGTGAGCAGGTTTCAGATTCAAACAAAGAGGAGGCAGCAGGTCTTGTTGGGTTTTCCAGAAGCAGACAGAGCAGTGGACATGATTTTATACCCCCTGTGGCTTCTTCGGGGTTTTTCCATGGTCCATACTCTTTTTCTTTGCATGTTTTCAAATCAAATGCAACCAACCATCTTCTATGGTACTTATTCATTACATCATATCTACACACCTGGAGCTATTTCCTACAAGCAAAGGGCATGGTGTTGGGTGGGGTGAACATGCTGGGCTAAATGATCACAGAAACAGCTAAGACAAGTTATACAGCATGAAGAAAGATTATTCTAAGGGATACATCTACTATTAGAAATACCATCCTTCTGTATGTTTCAATTCTAATCTGCGTAAATCATCCTTCTATATATTTAGTTTCTTACCTACATACTTCATACCCTAGATGGGACACCAACCCATCAGAGGACACACTGACCTAAACCTTACAAGTATCTCTGAGAAAACGTTAGCCTGACTGCATGTCTTTGGGCTGTGGGACTCAGGGAGACCATGGGTACTGTAGGTCCCATAGCAGCCACCAGGGGGTGCTCCACATGCACTCCACACAGACACAAAGTGGAGACAAGATGCAAAGCGGCAGGATTCGATGGATTCAGTGCGAGTGGTATGATACAGCAGGGTTCTCCTCTAAGCCGCCACAATGCCTGATGTGTCTGTTTATCTTGCCAAATTATTGGTATGTGCAGATATTTTTCTATAAAGCAGATGCTATCATCTAAAATAATACACATTTTTTAGAGATCAAGTTCAGGCAGATCCTGGAGCTATCGGGGGTTAAGGGCCTTGTGTGACAGCCTCAGAATGAACTGATTCTGCTGGCCGTGGGGTTTAAACTGGTGACCTTCTGATAACAAACACAGCATCCATACCCACTGAGCCACACACCACCCTCACCTCTCAGGTGCTGGAGATACAGGACTGCATTCTTCATAGGACTACAGGGCTACCTCACTGTCTCTGATCGGGGAAGCCTGTGGTTTATTAGGATTCAGCAGTTTGGAGAAGGTTTTTCATGAGGTTTTATTAGAAGCACAGAGCTGAAAACAGAGGCCAGGGGACTCATAAAGTGTAATATTGTTTTGAATCGCCCAGGACGGCTGATCATCATCTTATGACTAATAACTGATAAACAAATAAAATCTATACTGATTAGGAGGAAGTGGAATCTGTACAACAGGGATTATGGTGCCCATTATGGCACAGGCAACAATTAACAGATCAACTGATATTTCTCAGGGTTTTCTTATTACTGAGGAACTTTAGATAATAAGATACTTATATTTACCATTTATACAAGTTCGAGTATTAGGTACACAGGAACTCTTTGATTTTC